AAGGGATGCGGCAGGTGCACTAACTTCTCCTCCTGTCGGTTCCCTTTCAGCCGCTGGCAGCTGTGAGCTCCGCGCATGTGGGGGAAATTCGGAAAAGAACAAAATCAAACGGCTATGCTTAGCACCAACAAAGCGTTTCCCATATGCAAACAAAAAGTGTGTGTGTGTGAACGAGAGGGGGGTGTAATCGTGCGCAATAACAGTGTGTTCAGCTGTAAACAGCGATTATGTGGTATGGCCATAGGCTTGCAATAGGCTTCCTCTGAGTTTACAATGAAATCAAATGGCTTTTTGCTTGCTTTGAAGCCTGATATTTTCAGAAGAAAAAGGGAAAAAAACACAAAAAGCTAAAATTAATCTTAAAACGTATTAAAAAATTAGGAACAAAATGTAAAAAATGCTTAAAATAAGTCTTAAAAAAGCATATATACAACATTTGGATAGCATCCATGATACATGTAAAGCTGAAGCATCAGCATAGGCATAGACTTTAGAATACAAGTGAATACAAGCAATGATGAAAACAATAAAGCTGCGACCAGAATTTCTATAAACCTGTACTTTTGCCTGCACAGTGTCTGCGAAGTTTTTCAGCAATGACACTTTTTACATTAAAAGGGCTTTTTGTCCTGACTTCCAAGTTTCAAAACACTTTCAAAATAAAGAAAAATCCACCAGATGTGTGCGAAGAACTAGTAGAAGTACTTCTACTCTCAGAAGCCTTTTTGATGGTCTGTTCTACTTTTTTGACCCAGTAAATACACAAATAAAAAAAAAAAAAGATTTTTCCACAATTTAGCATAAAGTCATTCAGAGTGGTTTGGTGTGTAATGGTTCAGATTAATTTACAATGGTGGTGATAGGAACAAGGGGCCACCATGACTACAACACAAATACAGACATTTCATTTATTATCCAAAACCACCAGTGAACCCATACGTGTCTTCTGAGTTTTACATGGAATGTTGATGGAAAAATAGTGGAAAATCTGAAATAATATGCTTTCTTTGGGGACTATTTTGCCTCACAGTGCCATGCATGTATCCCTCCACTGTAAACTTACTAAAACCATTGTAAAACAGTGTCTCAGACATTAGGCAGTGAATTCATAACCATTTCATGTAATAACTTTCGGTGAGGGAGCTTTTAGAGGTGTATGTCTGGTTCCTATCACCATCACTGTGAACAATTCTGACTCACTAAGTTTCTCTAGACTGAAGCATTTCACACCAAACCACTCTGAATGACTCTTGAATGTTTCCTGTTTAAGCTTTGCTGCTGCATGTCATAGAGGCACCAGGCAATCAAGCATTGGATAACAGCCTCAACACGCTTGCAGGAGAAACATCAGTTCTTTCTAGAGCAACCCAAAAGCTGCTTTAGCCTGACATAAGTTATTATAAAGATGTAACAATTTATACAGTATTTGTTCATACTATATAATGTAGTCATTATTAAAGAGATGCACAATGATATCGGAATTATATCAGTATTGGCAGATAATTGTTGGACCACCTTCCACATGTGACTATGAATTCAAGGTAACAATTGATGACATTTCTTGTACTCCAGAAGAGCAGAACATTTAAGCGATGCTGGACTACTGCATATTTTATTCATTTAGCTGCATTTAATAGTGTGAATTTTCAGTGCTGTTCTTGTGTTTAATTTGATATGTAAACAACGTGGGCAGGAAATTTGCAAAATTGTTGAATCGTTGAAAATCGGATCCTTTATATTTAAGGGCAGACAAAGCTGGCGTCCTCTACAAAAGCTGGAAATTCAGCCTCAGGAACCGGAGGCCTAATCAAAAATCCGACCAACATTCAGTTCTTTACTAGATTTTGTTCAAACTTTTATGTTCCAGCAGATCAGAAACGTTCTCTCCATCTTTTTCTCTACTTTCTCTGTCTGAAATCAAGCAAATGTCAACAAAAATAGAAAAAGTTATGGTAACACTTTAAAGGCTTGTCTGTTTCTTGGGGTAAATACAGATATGTGCAGGGAAAATATTGGATCAGCATCACTCCAGAATTCCAATATCAGTGCATCTCAACATATTAAGGCAGGAATTTTCAAATCCAGACCTTGCATTAAGTTCCTGGTCCTGGATTTCACAAAAACTGAAGTGAAATGTTGATGTAATTGGCCACCGTGTGCCATACATACCAGTTAGCACAACATCCAAGATTGGAAACTGGATTGACGGACCAAATTTGAAGAGATCTGTATTAGAGTATATAACATAACATAAGATATTAGTTTTTGTAGTATACTTATATAGTCTATCATCACTGTCATAACAAAGCCTCATTTCTCTGAAAATAAATCTGAAATTTACAGGAGATGGAAAAATCTATGATTACATTTTACCATATATGTGGCTGTTTTTGTTGATCCATTCATCACATGTTCAGACAACGTTTAGAGCAGCTAAAGCTTAGAAAGGGTGTAAAAATGGAGTTCAGAGGCCTTTATATGACAATGAGGAAGGGCTGAATGATTGATCTCAAATCGAAATTCCAATTTGAGAATTTTAATTATGTCCTGTATTATTTGACATTGTCAAATTTTACGTGCGGAAATTTAACCTGATATTGAAGACCAGTCAGAGTCATCAGTTGAGCCTAAAGTTGAGCACAAAAAAGGCCTGGAGCTAAAAATGATCCCATTTAATTTGCAAATATTGGTCAGAAAAATCACAATTAGATATTTTCCCAAATCGTTCAGCCCAACAGTGAGGATATAATATAGTATAATTACAGTATACTACATCAGGATTCTGCAAGACTAGTGAATTTCAGTATGTACTGTTTTCTTAGTTTTCCATCCATGAACAAACTGCCCCATAATGCAATGCAACTTGCAAGACAACTCATGTACTATGTATCTCTCACTCTCGCAGTCGCTGCACACCTCACACTGCAGGACTCCAGAAGTTACATCAGTTTGTTTTCTTTTCCCTCGACGCCGGTTCAGGTGTAGTGGAACTTTTGCTTTCTCGTATATTTGAAAACATGTTTCGCTGCTGTGAAATTAAGTTGTTTGAATAATTAATCGCATGCTGCAGTGGCAAAAAAACATGAAAAAGAAAAACAGATAAGAAGCAGCTGTAGGGTGTACATTGCATAATTTGCTGAAAGTAATCTGGACTCATTTGGCAATGCTAATGCTAATTTCTATTAGTCTTGAGATGTTTTCTCCAATGAATGCAGTGACATTTCAGGGAAAAAGAACCCCACGCTCTGGGAATACTTTCATTAGGGCTTCTGTTGAAATAAAATCATCATGAAATTAACACTAGCAGCTTGGCTAGCCTGTGATCCCACTGTTTTTGAAGCAGTTAAACATCTAACCCTTCAACATACATGTTTTCTTTCACTTTCACGACCTACATACTTGCATACTATTACTCAAGTTGAGGGGCAATTTGAGTAATTTTCCATCAGGGCATCACTACTCATTTAAAGGTCTGTGCTGGGTGAAGGTATTTTTAGGGAACCTTCATGTATCCAGAACTTCCTCATAAAATGTGTCTTCTATACAGAAATTTCATCTTCTTTACAGTTTGTCTCCCCCTAACACGTACAAAGGAAGTGCTCATACGATTCAGGCATGAAAATAAAAGTGCCAGAAAGGGTTCTTTGGAGCAACACCATAGAAGAACCACTTTGAGTCCAATACAGAAACCTTTTTTTGTAAATTAAATAGAGTGTGAGGAACCTTTCTGAAGTTTAAAGAACCTCCACATAATGTAAAGGTTCTATACCAGTTGAGGCAAGGCAAGAACCACTGAGGAATAAGGGTGGACAAGGCTGGCACCCTCTTCAAAAGCTGGAAATTCAGCATCAGGAACTAGAGGCCTAATCAAACATCTAACCAACATTCAGTTCTTTTCTAGATTGTGGTCCAACGGATCATAAATGTTCTCACCAGCCTTCTCTCTACTTTCTCTGTCTGTTTAAAAGCAAACATCAACAAAAAATGAAAAAATTACAGCAGCACTTTACTGTAGGGGAGTGTTCATAAGGCTACAAAACCCATCATGACAACTTAAACCTACATTTATAAAAGCTTAATCCCAAAGGTGACTATTATCATAAAAGCTGTGATGTCAGGCTCAATAACACCTGTGTCAGGGGACATTTCTTCTTGGGTAACCAGTATAGTGCATAATAACAATTTTGGATGTGGACATGCCTCCTAATTGATGAGTTTGGGTGTTTCAGCCACACCCATTGCTAACATGTATAAAATCATCTCCACAGAAAAACACTGAATGGGTCGTACTAATGAGCTCAGTGACTTTAAACGTGGCACTGTCATAGGATGCCACCTTTGCCACATGTCAGTTTTTGAAATGTCTGCCCTGCTGAATCTGCCCCGGCCAACCGCAAGTGCCATTATTGTGAAATAGAAGCATCTAGGAGCAACAACAGCTCAGCCACGAAGCAGTAGACCATGCAAACTGACAAAGCGGGGCTGCCAAGCTGAAATGCATAATGTGTGAAAATCACCTATCCAATGTTGCATCACTCACTGCAGAGTTCCAAACTGCCTCTGGAGGCAACATCAGCACAAGAACTGTGCATTGGGAGCTTCGTGAAATGGGTTTCCATGGTCGAGCAGCTGCACACAAGCCTAAGATCAGTGGAAACGTCTTCTCTAGAGTGATGAATAATGCTTCTCTATATGGCAGTGTGATGGAGGAATCTGGGTTTGGTGGATGCCAGGATAACATTACCTACCAGAATGCATAGTGCCAACAGTAAAGTTTGGTGGAGGAGGGATAATTGCCTGGGGCTGTTTTTCAGGGTTTGGGTCCCTTAGTTCCAGTGAAGGATGATGTTAATGCTACAGCGCACATTTTACACAATTATGCATCCAGCTTTGTGTGGAGGAACTCCAGTGGCCTGCACAGAGCCCTGACCTCAACCCCACTGAACAACTTTGGGATGAACTGGAACATCGACTGTGAGCCAGGCCCTTTCATCCAACATTAGTGTGCTTTTTTGACTGAATGGACAAAAATTCCCTCAGACAAACTCCAAAATCTTGTGGGAAGCTTCTCAGAAGAGTGGAGGCTGAACTTGTCAGCCTTTCCAGAGGCTGCAAACTTTAGGACAAAAGACACCTACTGGAATAGGGGGTTTATAAATTTGAATAACATAAATTTATCTATGTCAGTCATCATGAAGGGCTTATGTAGGAGTCATGTAGCCTTATGAACACTGCCTTCCAGCAAAGTGTTACCAAAATTACAATTACAAAACAAAAGTAGATTTGCAAATCGAGTCGAATAGCACGTTAGCAACAGATCTTCTGATTTCATGCTAAGTCTGGTTCATCAGTCTGGTTGAAGTACACTCTGCAAACTCTAGATTTTGACCTAATTTTGTTTAGTGCCTGATACAATAGCCTTTCTACCCCAACCTCTGGAAATGGTTTCTCAAATACTAGCAGGACACCGTGCAATCTACAAGAATAGCAAAGTATTACATCTCCACTCCTCCTTTTCAAAGAAAATAGTCTAGTCTATTTGTGAGCATTGATGTCAGGGGAAGGTCTGGACAGAAGACCAATCCTGAGTTTGTGAAAAATCCAAAAACTACGCACCACTAAAGGCACTTCTTAAACAACGATAACGACAACGACAGCGACGACGACGACAGAGCTTCTCTTCTCTCAAATAATTCAAGTTCTGAGAAAGAAAAATAATGGCTTCTTCGGACTCTTGTTTTTAGAGTAGAATGCCTACCTTTTTTCTCTCTTCTTCATATTTTTTTCCACTTTGTTACCTCAAGTAAACTGCGGCACAACTTTTGCCGTCTGCAGCAACTTACGTGTTGAACTGGGGTTGAAGGGGAGACAGCCATTAGCGGCTAAATCGCTCTCTCTCTCTCTCCATGCTAGCAGAAAGCTTTCGCCCTGCAGACTCGGTTACCTCAATCAAAAAAACAAAAGGATTCCCTTCAAGAAAATAACAAGGAGTACAAAGAGTGAACATAAACTCGACTATAAAACCATACAAGAAAGAAAAAAAAACAAAAGGAACCCAAGAAAGTGATAAAAACGTATAATCAAAGGAAAAAGCATTCTGTTTGAAGACAGTCAGAGGGAGAGGAAGGTCCACAAAGCTGTCTCTCTGTACAGGTCTCTCTCTCTGGAGCTGGGCAGGCGATTGGTTGTTGTAGTTGTTGGTGGTGTACTTGGTGTGGATTGTGTATTTAAGATTGAGTTTTAAAGTTTCTAGTCATCGTTGCCGCCCCCGTACATGTCGGCGAGTTTCTTGAAGCGCGGACCCCAGTCGTTGAGGTAGTCGTAGTCCTGCTCTCCGCTGCTGGACGAGTTGAGAGAGCTGACCGATCCAGCCGTGGATCCGCTGCCTTCATAATCGAACACCAGCAGAGAGTCATAAGGGGGCGCTGTCGGGTCATTATCTGCTGCCCGAAGTCCCTGTGAAGATGGACAGATTAAGAGAAAACTTATGAATAAACTATCCATAAATAAAATGTCACTTAGTAGCTTAAGCCTTGGTGGTTACACTACATGAGTTCTAGCCCAATTATAGCCAAGATTCACCATCAGTCTGAGTCCGTGCTGGTATTTTGGGAAAAACAGAAAAGTGTGAGTGGAGCATACTCCAACTTCCTATCTCCCAATCTAGGAGTTCCCTATGTGTCCCTATGTGTGGGATAAGCTGGAGTGATTCAGAACTGACCATCCAACGTCAGAACCTGACCTCACTTATGCTCAATCTTCAGAGCAATGTTCCAACATCTAGTGTAAAGCTTTCCCAGAGGAGTAGAGGCTGTTACTGCAGCAAAGTGGGACAAACTCACTATTAATACCCTTCATTTCAGAAGAAACCTTTCCAGAAGGTAAGCTTCACATGCTTTCCAAAAAAAAGCCACTTTGCCGTGCTGACTGAGACTCATTTCAGCATGGCAGGTTATATGGTAACACTGCTGAAGGTGGCTTAAAACAGAGAAAATAAACACACATGAGTTTCTGTTCAGAAACTTGTAAGCTAACTTTCTTTTTGCTTAGGTTTGGTAGTTCTTCATACTGCTTGGTAGTTCTTCATATTGTTTGGTAGTTCTAGCTATGGTGTGATAGTTCTTGGTGTAGTTTGATAGTTCTTGCTGTGGTTTGGTCGTTCTTGTTGTGGTTTGGTAGTTCTTGTTGTGGTTTGGTAGTTCTTGCTGTGGTTTGGTAGCTCTTGTTATGGTGTGATAGTTCCTGGTATGGTTTGGTAGTTCTTGCTGTGGTTTGGTAGTTCTTGCTGTGGTTTGGTAGTTCTTGCTGTAGTTTGGCAGCTCTTGATGTGGTTCGGTAGTTCTTGCTATAGTGTGATCATTCTTGGTATAATTTGGTAGTTCTTGGTATAGTTTGGTAGTTCTTGTTGTGGTTTGGTAGTTCTTGCTGTGGTTTGGTAGTTCTTTCTGTAGTTTGGTAGCTCTTGATGTCTTTCGGTAGTTCTTGGTATAGTTTGGTATTTCTTGCTGTGGTTTGGTAGCTCTTGCTGTGGTTTGGTAGTTCTTGCTGTGGTCTATTAGTCTTTGGTATCACCTCGAAGTTTTGGTATGGTTTGGAAGTTCATGGTATAGTTTGGTAGTTCTTGGTGTGGTTTGATTGTTCTTGGTGTGGTTTGATTGTTCTTGGTGTGGTTTGATTGTTCTTGCTATGGTTTGGTAGTTCTTGTTGTGGTTTAGTAGTTACTGGCATGGTTTGGTAATTTCTGTGGTTTGGTAGTTTGCTATAAGTTAACTAAATTGTACATTTACAAATAATTTTAAATCACTTCTTGTTTAAAATATTACAATGGCTAAGGCTTACTGAGAAGTCAGCCTTTAGTCTACCATTATTGTAGTTTACACTTCTCATGAGAATCCAGGAGTCAGTAAGTGACAGAGTTGCATCAGTCTCTTTCTTGTTGCTGATGTCAATTCAGGTGGAATTTGGACTTGCTTTATGTTTTAAAAATGTGTTTTACTGCTGTGAAATTATGCCAGTTGGATAATTAACGGCACACCATGGCTGGAAAAACATAACCTAAAGAAAAAAAGATTAAAAGCAGCTACAGGTACATGCTGCACTGAAAGCTCAATGAAGGATGGCGGTGAAAAGTTGCAGAAGTTCAACTTCATTTGAGAAACTGCCTCAGACTTTTGGCAATGCTAACATTCACACTATTATTAATGGGCCCAAACAGTTGCCCTCATACACAGTCTGTCTGACATTTAGCTTTTCAGAATGTTTTTAAAATTTTGTAAAAACATACCATATTAGAAGTTTATTTAGAGGAAAACAAATATCACAAATGTAAATACTGGTGCCAGTATTAGTGACAACACCACTTTGGGAATGTATAAACCACTTTTAGGCCAAAACAGTTTCAATACAGGCTTCTAACTTAAGCCCATTTGGGATTATTTCTTCATTAAGACAGTGAGAAAAGAAGGCAAGGTGTCCCCAAACTTTTGACATGCAGTGAACCGTAGGGTGGCGCTGTTGGGTCATTATTTGGCACCCAAAGTTCCTGTGAGGACAGACAGATAAGGAAAAATTTCTGAACAAACAAACAAACAGCTTCCACATGACCACTGCAGCCTGAACACATGGAGAAGCTGAAATAAATCTCGCAGAAGATCCTGGCACAAGCGGGACCAGCTGTAAAGCTTGGGATTCTTGACCATGGCTCTGTTGCCTCCAATACACAATCAGCCTTCCCGCTTGCGCAGTAACTGTCTGAATTCGAGTGGATTAAATCAGTTTGCTGTTGTTCTTTGTTTGTGTAAAATACCTGGAACACAGACACAGCTGTTGGCGAATACAAAGCGACTGGTTCGGTGCCATTTGTTATACTCAGCTGAAGACAGAAATGAAAAGAGAAACATCTTTTGAGAAAGATTTCTGACTCTGTTTTGTTGGAATACGTACCAAGGTTAACCTCAACTCCCTCATACTTCACTAAGTTCAAAAGTTTGTAATTCTCAGGGAGGTTTGGTAGTTCTTGTTATGGTGTGATAGTTCTCAGGGAGGTTTGGTAGTTCTTGTTATGGTGTGATAGTTCTCAGTGTGGTTTGGTAGTTCTTGCTGTGGTGTGATAGTTATTGGTGTAGTTTGATAGTTCTTTGTGTGGTTTGGTAGTTCTAGTTGTGGTTTAATAGTTATTGTTGTGGTTTGGCAGTTTTTGATGTGGTGTGATAGTTCTTTGTATGGTTTGGTAGTTATTGGTGTGGTGTGATAGTGTGACAGTGATTCTAAACATTTAAATGGTGAATTTAAACTTTAAAATGGTGATTCTGAACTTTTAAACAGTAATTCTAAACTTTTAAATGGTGAATCTAAACTTTTAAACGGTGATTTGGAAAATTCTGAATGGTGCTTCCAAAATTTTGAATGCTGATTTGAAAGTTTTGAATGGTGTTTCTAAACTTTTGTATGGTGATTCCACACTTTTGAATGGTGATTTGAAACTTGTAAATAGTGATTCTAAACTTTTAAATGGTGATTTTAAACTTTTGATATTTTTTTAAATGCTGATTTGAAACTTTTAAACAGTGATTCTGAACTTTTAAATGGTGATTTTGAACTTTTGATAAACTTTAAAATGGTAATTTAAAACTTTTGAATAGCGATTTGCAAAATTCTGAAAGGTGATTCTAAAATGTTGTATCACAATCCTAAACCTTTGAATGATGAATTGAAAATTTTAAATAGTGATTCTAAACTTTTGAATGGTGAGATGAATCGTCTTAATGGTGAGTCTAATCTTTGAAATGGTAGTGTAGCTTAGAACATGCAAAATCACAAAAGAAAACGCTTCATTCACGTACTTCATTGATGAAGTCTCCGATGTCCCCAGGATGGGGTACCACTGGCCGGAGCGGGTACTGAGACTCTGGGACCACCGGCCTCTCGTCCACTCGCCGGACGCCCGGGGGCTTGGTCATGATGTGCTCCAAAGAGTCGGGCTGCTGCAGCTGACTCAGATCATAGTCCTGCAGATTAGACCACACATAACACTAAAGATACGCCTGCCATCCGCTAGCGTCCACAACACAGACCAGAATAATATGTCCACCAGGACCAGCTCTACACTGAGCTCCTCTGTGTGGAATAAACTCCAGGCTGCTCAGTTTCAGGCACTGTTAACAACAAAGAGGGTGAAGAAGGTTTTTCTGGCGTAAACTAAATGGCAATAAACTTGGCGGTTGGTGATTTTAGGGAGAAGGATGATCGTAGGCTGTCAGTCTTATCCATGGAGTTTATTTCAATCCAAGCAGGATAATTTTATATGTGCAATAAAATCTGTCAGACACTACCCTATCATGTTTTAAATTTCCAGTCAACACGGCCATGAAACACATTCTTTATTTTGAAGCATTTGGAAACATCTAAATAAGCAGAAAACACGTATTTAACAGAAATCACACAGAAGCTTCAACAACTAATTCTAATCTCAGCTGTTTGAGTGTTGAGTGTGTCACTCTTTACCTTTATTACAGCTTCCATTCTTTTCAGGAGACACACTTCCAATTTCTCAAAGAAATTAGCAGACACACCTTCAAAGTTCAGTCTTCAAGTAATCAAACACATTCAGTGATATTGAGGTCTGGACTCTGGGGTGGTCAGTCCATTGTTCCACCAGCAGCTTCTTTGATTTCTCCTTTTTCTGTCTGTTTATAATAACAGGACCCTAAATGTAGCAATCATTATATAGTAGTTTGTTCATACTTATAGAATTGCTACTTGTGCATTATTACGTGTTGCAATTTAAATTCTTACATGTTTACAGAGTGACATTCAAATCATTATAACACTGGAAATGCTTTTTGTAAATGCATTATATTTAGCATAATAAGTAGTGTGATATGTCGTTTTTTGAATGCATTATAAAAATGAATGATTGTTATTGTTTAAAAGAATATATCAACCTCTTTTTAAAGAGGTGGACCAAAACAAATGGCTCAAAAATACTTGGAAAACATTCTGGTTCCACTGACTTACATTAACAGTAAAGTTTTTTCCTTTTCCTGTAAAGTTATCATTTTGGAGGGGGAACAAGGTTTCGTTCTGACAGTGACAGACAGGATGTAGCTAATTCATTCATAGCTATTATTTTTTATGCAACTAAGCAAATGGTAAGTAATATGTTTTTTTGAGTTATGGGTATCAAATAACAATCATTATTAACAATGTATAATTAATGATCAGCTTTTGACAATTATTGATTACTCATATATCCTGAAGTAAATGGTTAATAATTTAAATGGTACCATTTGTCAATGTATATGTAACTATAAGTATTTACATTCATTAACAAATTATTAGATAGTTATTAGGTTTCTGTTTATTAAGCGTTTGTTATTTTAAAGTTTTATCTCTTATTCCTTTTCTCAGTGAGGCTTCTTGACAGCTACACATCCTTTCAGACTCATAGTGCTGAGTTGTCTTTTCCCAGTGGAAGGATGGACAGAAACACCTGTGGATGTTTTCAGATCTGAAGCAGCTTCATTTTCTCCTCTCTCTCAAAGATGAAAGCTGTGCTGTTTATCTGATGGGGACAGTTTTGGTGTCTACCAGGTCTTCCAGGTGGTTGTTAGGGGTCTCATTTCCTCTGTAGCTTCTAATCATTTCTTTGAACTCCAGTTTCGGAAAGTTCTCAGAAATATCTCTTTAATAAAAATGAACAACTTGTTCAATCTTTAAAATGATGGCTCTTAAAGGGTTCTTTAGTAAAGATAATGCTTCAATATATAGAACCAGTTTTGGTGTCTAACTAGGTCTTCCAGGTGGTTGTTAGGAGTTTGATCTCCAGTTTTGATAACTCCTGTTTTTCCTTTGACTTCCTCATTCCTTATACAAGTGGATCATCTTATATCTAATCTCTTCAGAGATATCTTCTCAAAAATAACTTGTACTTAATGGCTGTTTTGACTGGAAATCATTGCAAACTTCTGAACGGTAGTGCGTATCTCTAGAATCTGAGCTCCATTCACCTGGTCCTCCTCTCCTCCTCCCTCCTCGTCGTATTTCAGGATGTTGTCTCTGACATCGTCTTCAGGATCGATCAGCAGCTGTTTGGTCTGTCTCTCTTTCTCTCTCCGCTTCATCCACACCACAAACAGCAGAACCATGCCTGCAGCACACAAACACATACACAGCCAGTGTGAAAACCTCAATTAACTGAAACGCACAACTGTGTATGCTACGTTTTTGTGCAGGCACATTTTTCATTCATCAAGGTACAAACAATGTAAATGTTCCCTCAAAGGTACAACAGTGGTTTATTTTTTTTATTTTTTTTTAATTTTTACCCCGATTTTCTCCCCAATTTAGTCGTCTCCAAATCCACCCACTAGTTAGGACTCCCCCAATCACACGATGCTATCAACGCTAGGAGGGTGAAGGCTAACACAGGCTTCCTCCGAGACCTGTGAAGCCAACCACCGCTTCTTTTCGAACTGCCGCTCACGCAACGTCACTGGACAGCCGAACGCGCTCGGAGGAAAGCGCCAACCGCCAGATCTGTTACGTCAGCTAACAGACGTCTGCGCTGACTAGCATCGCACTGAGTGATGGGGGGAGAAGGAGGGGCCATCCTACCCACCCAGAGAGAGCGAGGCCAATTGTGCTCTCTTGGATTCCCGGCTACGGATGGCTGTAGCACCACCAGGGATCGAACAACAACAGTGGTTTTAAGGTCCAACTGTGCACCTTAAATAAGTTTTTCCAGGTGAAAAGTACATATTTGTACCTTTTCATAGCCTAACATTTTAAAACAGAATAATAAAATAAAAAGCCTTGAGTCGAGACAGGGTTGTGGAGTCAATACAATTTAGAAAATATAATTTCAATGGATTATGGTACAATTATGTTCCCTGACTAAAGGTACTGAGATGTACCCTTGAGGGTCACCAGTGACAAGAAGGGCACTGCCCCATTGACAGTTTAGTACCTTTATTTCTGAGAGTGTAGGGATGGTTTTGTTTGATTCTGAAAAGTGCCAGGTACAAATTCAGTTTGTTTGTTTTTTTTGCCAGCCTATTGCTATAAGAAACACTTAACTCTTAAGAAATCACTTAAATCTCATCTTTTCAAATCCAATTTTATTGATCACTGATTTTCTACAACCTTCTTAAATGCTCCTCACGTTAGCTAATGTCGTTCGACATCTTCTTTTACTGTTTACTGTTTGCTCTTTTGTTTTTGTACCTTTTTTTCTGTTTTACTTATACTCTGATATGTTCCAGTGAAACTGCTCTGATTACAGATGTTGTTTTCTTGTTCTTACTATTTCTGGTCCAATTGTTTTGTAACTCTATAAATAACATTAAGCTATTATCAAATCCCAGAGAACACAGACGCAATGTTCTCTTACAAAGGCCTACAAACACGAACACTGAGCTGGTGTGCAGTACATGGGTGTGGTTGTTGGGAGTCTCTAGAATGTTCTTCTCCACTCATTCATATCCAACCATTCATACAGGCTTGTCAGAATTTTGGTAAAAATGAAAATCTTAGAGAATGGTGGTGTTTGCGAAACAATGAGGTGTTTCCTGAAGAATGTTGGTGTTTCTTGAAGAATGTTGGTGTTCAGTGGAGACTGATCGCTGGAGAATGCTGGTGTTTCGAGGATAACGAAGGTGTTTTGCAGTGACTCTCAGTGTTTGTTAGAGAATAATGGCATTTTTTGGAGGATGGTGGCATTTGGTGTTGATGTTTGCTGGAGAATGAGGATGTTTTGTGGAGAATAATGATCTTTTTTGGAGAATGATGGTATTTGGTTGAGAATGTTGGTGTTTGGTAGACTGACGGCATTTGAGAATTATGGTGTTTGCTGGAGAATGTTGGTGTTTGGAGGATTTACATTTACATTTACAGCATTTAGCAGATGCTCTTATCCAGAGTGACGTACAAGAAGTGCGTTGTCTATCTAGAGAAAGTATCTTTGCTAGTTACCAATAGGTTAGAGAGAAAGCTAGTCCTGAGCTCACATACTGCTAGAAACCTTTGTTGGTAGGATAATGAAGGTGTTTCACTGTGAATGTTAGTGTTTGTTAGAGAATGATGGCATTTCTTGGAGGATGGTGGCATTTGGTGTTGATGTTTGGTGGCATATTAAAATGTTTTATGGAGAATTATGGTGTTTTTTGGAAAACGATGGCATTTGGTGGAGAATGTTGGTGTTTGGTAGACTGATGCCATTTGTTAAAGAGAGATGGTGTTTGTTGGAGAATGTTAGTGTTTGAGAATAAAGATGGTCAAGAATTATGGTGTTTGGTAGAGAATGCAGGCGGCACGGTGGGGCAGTGGGTAGCGCTGTCGCCTCACAGCAAGAATGGCCTGGGTTCGATTCCCGGCTGGGCGACCGGGGTCATTTCTGTGTGGAGTTTGCATGTTCTCCCCGTGTCTGTGTGGGTTTCCTCCGGGTACTCCGGTTTCCTCCTACAGTCTAAAGATGTGCAGTCAGGCTGATTGGACACACTAAATTGCCCCTAGGTGTGAGTGAGTGTGTGAATGTCTATGTCTGTCTGTCTGCCCTGCGATGGACTGGCGACCTGTCCAGGGTGTATCCTGCCTTCCGCCCAATGACAGCTGGGATAGGCTCCAGCACCCCACCGCGACCCAGAAGGATAAGCGGTTTAGATGATGGATGGATGGTAGAGAATGCAGGTTTTTTGGTTGAGAATGTTGCTGTTGCTGGAAAACTGACATTTTTGGAGAATGCGGGTGAAGAATGATAGTGTTTTTTGAAGAACGATGGCATTTGGAGAAAGCTGTTGTTTGGTAGACTGATGGCCTTTGGTTAAGAGAGATGGTGTTTGTTGGAAAACGTTAGTGTTTGTTTGATAATAAGGATGTCTGGGCAAGAATTATGGTGATTGGTGGAGAATGAAAGTGTTTAGTTGAGAATGTCAGTATTTGGTGGAAAATGGTCGTTTTTGGAGAATGTTGGTGGAGAATGTGTTTTTTGGAAAATGATGGTCTTTGGTGGAGAATGTTGGTGTTTGGCCAAGAACTATGGTGTTTGGTGGAGAATGAAGGTGTCTGGTTGAGAAAGTTGCTGTTTGGTGCAAAACAATCTTTTTTGGCAAATGCTGTTGGACTGAAGGTGTTTGGTGGAGAATGTGGATATTTGGTTGATCAGTGTTTGGTTAAGAATGGTTGTGTTTGGTGGAGACTAATGTCAATCATTTTGGCCCAATATTACCCAATAGAAGCATATAAATAAGGAATAAAATAGGTCCTACTACTGAACCCTGAGGAACACCTGAAATAACACAGCTGAATGATGATGTACAGTGCTCTTTAATTACATGTCAGTGCAAAGGTTTATAATGGTAAATTATCCTTTGTATAGAGAACTCAATTATGCATAAACATGCTTCTTTACAGTGTTTGGGTTAAGCTTGTCAAGCATTGCGAAACAAAAAGCTGCACTGCAAATACCAAAGACATGACAAAAATGTAAGGGATAGATTCCTTACCACAAGACAATAACTTTTCATAAATTTCAAGTCATAAAAAAATATCTACTCTTTAAAATATGAATGTGTATGGACAAAGTTTTGAAACTGGGCATGTAGTGGAGAATGATGAATGTTGGAACAAACCCAAACACTGGGTTCATGTGCTGTATATGTGTGTGGTTGTGAGGAGTCTCTAGAACATTCTTTCTGCTGGTTATTTGGCTTTTTAGATATTTTACTGGATGTCTTTAGCCAGAGGCCGACATTAGGAAGACGTATTTTTCTTGCTGAGGTCAAATTTCGCTTTCGTTATATATCACAAAATATACTGTGCATCCACGAACCTCAGAACCACAGTCGATAACAAGTCCCCACAAGCCATGCCTGCAAAGACGCACATCCACACATCCACTCTACGATGCAGAAAATCTTCCCTTACAAGACAACAATGTGTTCTTGCTCATGCTAGGTAAATGTTTTATAGATATGACTGGGCGAGCAACTTGCCATCTCCAAAGAGTAGGCTTCTCTTCACTGCCTGCAAAAGCTTTCAATATTACATGGCATGAACTGAAGCACGTCCAGCCTCCGCTTTGTTTGGAGCAGCACATTTTTAGCCACAAGGCTAAAATGAATGTGAAGGTGAGAATAAGGTAATACAAACCGAAGGTGAGAATAGGCCCCGGCTACGGTTATTTAAACCATAAGCAGAAGAATTAGCCGCAGGTCGAATAAGGTCCAGAATTAGGGTAGACGTGTCAGGGCATGGATACAAAGAAATAAAGAAATTTCTTCTTCTCTCTTCAGGTCATACTTCGGTTATGGACAGGAAGTACTGATCCATGCCTTAGGCCTCTGGCTTTGTGGTTAGAGGCAGTCTAGTCTGGGGAAAGTCGAGGTACACTTTGTGTTTGAAGTGGGGTGACGTGTGTGTATGAAAGAGCTAGGGTTGGATTTAGGCTTCTCAAAGGTGCCCTAAAGTTTGGAAACTTGGTATAATGGCACCTTTCTATTCCAGTCCATTTAAAAGCCACAAGTGCAGGCCGTATACCAAAGCCTAAACAATGATACCTTAAAGTCTCAGTGTAAAATCAATAATCTTTCGATAAAAGCTTCAACAACAATGATATTGCATTGCAAGTTGAGCTGTGTGAAAAGTCTATGTCTGTGTTCAGCAGTGCTCAATTAGCCTCTGCTTGGAAGATCTTGCTTTTTTTAAATTCAGGGCTTAAATTAACAGGTCAAAGATTTCACACAGGCTGCACTAGCAACACAGCACTGAAACTGAAATAGAAAACTTACTTAAAACATTAAAAATGCAAATTCTTCAATTCTTGGCCATTATTAGACAAAAACATTTCATGTTCACATTTCCCTCTAGATCTACCAGGCCTGAAACGATTTCCAATCACAGAAAGCTGCCAAATGTATCGTGCTCTTTCACAAATTATATTTTTATTGAGCAAAGTGATTGATCCAGTTACTTATCCATTTGGTAAAAGGATGTCTGTAGACCACTCTACAGTGTAAGAACTGTATGTGTGAATGACCAACATGTGTGAGCCAACACCAATACCTTTTACTACCTTTCACTGTCAACATTACACCATTACTGCCTGTCAACACCAGGGGCTCTCAAACATTTCCACCCCTAGGCCCACCTGTTCATAAGTTCGAAGCATAGCGGCCCACAGGAAAACTAAAGTCTAAAGCTTTTTTAAATACAATTTTCTTTTTATTTTCTGTGCTGACATTGAAAACCTGAGAATCAGGGCCTGAAAAAGATCAGATCGTCCATTTTGGTTCAATCACTGGTCCCAAAATTCGCATTATGTTAAAAATGATATATTTGCAGAGATGTTAAAAAAAAGAAGAAAAAGCAAAAAGAATAGAAATGTATGAGGTGGATGTGTGTGATTTGGAGCTGCAGTGCACTGCATTTTCACTGAAAATACTCCACTGTATTTGATTTCTATTTAGTTTTGAGGGGTTTTGCGATTAATTTGAAATAACCAGACCTCACTCCATGCACCGGGCTTTTGGCATCAATCAATGATAATAATAACCCTTACTTTATATCTGCCTCTTTTGGATCGGTTTATCAATTTGAGTTTAATCACTCACGTCGCTGATGCTTAGCCAAAAATAAGCTCCAATCCGTGAGGCAAAATCAAACATGGATCTTCACTATTATTTTATTTTACAGCTGCTCATGCTGCAGAAATGAGAGCAAATGAGGGTCTGTAAAGAGCAAGACATTAGAACAGGCAGATTATGCTGGCCAGGGTTTGTTTGGAAGCAAACCGAGACCCGAATACGGGTGGAATGTCCACTCCATCAGAATGGAGCGGACCAAAAAAAAGTCCGCACCAAACAAGGCAGGTGTAAAAGCGCCCTGAGAAACTTCTCCACCGGCCCACAGGTTGAGAAACCCTGGTCTACACTACAAAACAGACAAATCTGCTTTATTTTGTCAAGAAGTTCTGACACATGAGGCAGACAATTCAGCAATGACGCCATCTAGGGGGTGTCAAGGGGGGCCAAAGCTAACCTGATACAATCGCTGGGACCCCCAGTGAGTTACTTACGCATAATATGATGCATAATATGATGCATAATATGCTTCTATGCTATGATATTCTTGTGTATGTTTTAACCTTTTTCTGTACATATATTTATTTTTTTCTGTATAAATTTTTAACATTGTATATCACCATTACCTATGATAGTATTCTTTCTCTGTTTATCTTTTTTCTCATTCTATTTTCTGCCTCTTTCACACATTAACACTATCTTATCACTCCACAGTGATGAATACAGTGTATGCAGCCACACTTGCTATAGTGTTAGTCTTTAGGTACTAACTACACACTTACCAGTGTCATGACACCTCAATTAGAACTGACTCTAAATTCCAGCCCCTGAAACCAGCAGCAACAAAGACAGAATCCTCAGAAGCACAGTGACTCACTGAGCAGTATAATGATGCAGATGAGGATGGCTATAATGGCTCCAGTGCCCAGTCCAGCAGCTGCCACGGCGCCGACCGCAGTGCAGTCTCCGTGTTCGTCACATGGACAAACCTTCACCTTAATGATGGAGCGGTTGGACAGAGGAGGGTTCCCTGAGTCCGACACAGAGATGGGAACCTCATACACCCCTGACTCCAGGAACTGGATCCTCAGACTCAGCCGGGCATAGTCTCCTGTGAGCAGAGGGATAGGTCAGGATGTGGGATTGCAGATTAACATTTGGGATATTAAAGGATTTGCAGGTTAGGGGTTTGATTTAGGGATTTATGATTGGGTTTGGGGATTTAGTGTTTGGGTTTGGGGATTTGGGATTGGGTGTTTGGGTTTGGGAATTAGGATTTAGCGTTTGGGTTTCGGGATATGTGATTGGGTGTTTGGGTTTGGGGATTTGGGATTGGGTGTTTGGGTTTGGGGATTTGGGATTGGGTGTTTGGGTGTGGAGATTTGGGGTTGGGTGTTTGAGTATGGGGATTTGGGGTTGGGTGTTTGGGTTTGGGGATTTGGGATTGGGTGTTTGGGAATTTGGCATTTGGAGTTTGGGTTTGGGAATTTGGGATTTAGTGTTTGGGTTTGGGGATATGTGATAGGTGCTTAGGTTTGGGAACTGGAGATTGGGTGTTTGGGTACAGGGATTTGGGATTGGGTGTTTGGGTGTGGAGATTTGGGATTGGGTGTTTGGTGTTGGAGATTTGGGATTGGGTGTTTGATTTGAGGATTTGGGATCGGGTGTTTGACTTGAGGATTTGGGGTTAGGTGTTTGGGGTTGGGTGCTTGATTTGGGGATTTAGGGTTGGGTGTTTGGGATTGAGGATTTTGGGGTTGTGTGTTTCATTTGGGGTTAGGTATGTGATTTGAGGATTTGGGATTTGGTGTTTGACTTGAGTATTTGAGGTTCAGTGTTTGGGTTTAGGGATTTGGCTTTGGGTGTCTGATTTGGGGTGGGGTGTTTAGGTTTAGCGTTTTGGGGTTGGGTGTTTGGTGTGGGGATTTGGGTGTCTGAGTTTGAGGATTTGGAGTTGGGTGTTTGAATCTGGAGATTTGCGGTTAGGAGTTTGGGGTCAGGTGTTTGGGTTTAGGGATTTAGAGACAGGTGTTTGGGTTTGAGGTTTTGAGGTCTGGTGTTTGGGTTTGGGGTTCAGACAGAATTTCTGGTCTGATTAAAGTTCCTCACCATTAAGACGGGACACTGTCCAGTTCCTACGGAGGATGGAGGGGTGCATGGGCAGCTCAAAGACGAAGGGGCCGACGTTTGGGTCAGTGTCAGCATCTGCTGCGGTGATGTTGATGGAGTTAGCGTTCGCTCTCTCACAAATCTGAGCCTCCCGTGGGACTAAAGATGGAGCGTTATCATTCACATCGATCAGATAAATCTGCAGTGTACCTGTACTGCTGGCTGGAGGAGAGCCTGAGAGAGAGAGAGAGAGAGAGAGAGAGAGAGAGAGAGAGAGAGAGAGAGAGAGAGAGAGACCAAATTTTTAATGGGTCCTTTATTAAATCAAATCATTTTACGTAGAGACGTAGAGTCCAGTTGAATATTTAATCATAAGATTATTGAAATGAAGAGTGAGGAGAATGAGCATGAGAAAGAGAAAGAAAAAAGAAAAAGATGAGGAGGAGAGAGGGAGAAGACAGAGAGCAAGAAAGACAGGAAGGAGAGGAGAGAGTGAAAGAAAAGAAAGACGAGAAAGAAAGAGAGAGTGAGAGAAAGAAAGAAATAGAGAATAACAGAGAGAGAAGAAAGAGAAGAGAGAGAAGAGAAAGAGAGTGAGAGAAGAGAAAGAAAGAGAGTCAGAGAAAGAGGAGAAAGGAGGAGAGGAGAGAGGGAAGAGAGAAAGAGTAGAGAAAGAAAGAAATAGAGAATAAAAGAGAGAGAAGAAAGAGGAGAGAGAGATGAGAAAGTGTGAGAGAGACAGAAGACAGAGAGTGAACATGAGAGGAGAGAGTGAGAGTGAGAGAATGTGAGAGAGAGAAGAGAGAGAGAGATCAGCAGAAGAATGAAGGATGGAATAGCTGTAAATGAAAGCAGGCACTTTGGCTTTTTACTAATTAACCTCGTGTTTGACTCACTCAACATGTGAGGAAAGTGTAAAAACAGTGAGAGAGTGTAACGAGTCCTGCTAATAGAAAGTTAAAACGCTGAAGATCGTAGCTCTTCTGACATTTAAATTATGCCTGTGACCTAATCATTACTGGAGGAAAAGGGCTAAAATCACTTTTCTATTAGCGCCACTTTGTAGAGAAATTGGCCTTTTATGCTGATGTAAGACCAGTGCTCCCAACTCTCATCCTTATTTTAGCTGCTGCAGGAAAAAGAAAATGACAAATGAAAAGTCAGATTAGCTTATAAAGCTCTGAACTCCTTACAGCCTTTAAAGAAGGAGTTTAACCAAAAATCTCATTTACAAAGTCCCGCCCCCTCAACACAAACACGGCCCTTCAGCCGAGTCACGTCTGGTGTCTGAAGTTTGCTTCTTTACTTTTGTACTGGAGCTATGAGGCTAATGTAGCTAACAACCCATGTGATACATGGCAATAATATCGGACACATATAGATATAGGAAATATTTGGATTTCCATTATATCCAACTTTCCAATATATACACATATTTATTGAAACTGGCCATTTTCACGTATAATTCAGTCTTATATCTATATATTATATATAACACACATTTAACATTTAACAAAGCATTAATCCTATATGGATTCCATATATTACTCATGTATGCTAGCTTCATGTTATATAATGTCAGTTTTTCATGTATGTTGCTGATATTTTACTTCTAAAAAAGCGTTTGTTTCAGACATATATTACACATATGATCCATATATTATGTATATAAGGGTTCACCCACCTATATATTTGCATATCAGTACAATACCAGCATGCACCACACAAATATATCATAGAACCATAAACAATCACTGTGGTGTCACAAAGTCCTGACTGCTAGCCTAGCCACTGAGCAATAGGCTAATACATAAACTAATACACAAAACAGAGAGAGAGAAAGAGAGAGAGAGAGAGAGAGAGAGGAGAAATGGCAGTGTGTGTGTGTGTGTGTGTTTGTCAGTTGATCTAATGGTCAAGTGTTGTTGCATCTTGGCAGACTGTGTGTGTGTGTGTGTGTGTGTGTGTGTGGTGTGTGTGTGTGGATCACAGTGTAATTAACACTCTCAGAACTCTCAGACATCTGTCTCTATTACACACACACACACACACACACACACACACACACACCCCCCCCACTCACAGAAACTTTATCATTCTAGATGTTATAATGTGTTAAAATGTGTTATAATGTTTTTTGCACTCCACAGGTAAAAATGCCATCTTGTTCATTTTGTCCCACGACCAGTAAACAGTCTTTTATAGACTAATTATATAAAAATAGAAATATAAGATACCATTTTAGAAACACAAGATTTCGATTTAGAAATAAAACGTGGCCCTTTTTAGAAGAACAAGTTACCATTTTAGAAACACAAGATACTATTTTAAAAATACAAGTTACCATTTTAGAAATATAACATTTTAAAAATACAACATACTGTTTCAAAAGTATAAGATACCATTTTAAAAATATCAGATATCATTTTAAAAATATAAATGACCATTTTAAAAATATAAGATACCATTTTAAAAATATGACACCATTTTAGAAATTACATACCATATATAAAGCATTGTATATTTTGTTGTTGTGTTAGCTCCTCCCCTGTTCTGTCATGTGTTCAGCTCACACCTATTTCTTGTTCTTAGCTCCGCCCTGTCATTGTTCTCAGCTGTCTCTCATCTTGAGAGTTTGTATATATATATACATATAATCCTTGTTTCAGTCTTGTCTTTGCTTGGCATTAAATGTGAAAATATGTGCATGTTTGTTCTGGACTGTTCATAGATCAGTTGTAGCTTTGCTGTTATGATGCTTTAGTTTTGCCTCTTGTTTGTTTTACTCGCATTCTTGTTTTTCCTGCTTATTGCTCCTGTTTCTGGCATGGACTTCAATAAAATCAACTCGCACTTGCATCCTGCTTCATCTCCTGCTTACCCAACATTACAAAAGTTACTGTTTTAAAAATATAGATCATCATTTTAGAAAAGTCACCATTTTAGAAACACAAGTTACTGTCGGTAACTTTAGAAGTGTTTAGATTTTTTAGTAAGTGCTTAGTTACTGTGTTAGAAATGCAGGATAATGTTTCAGAATGTTTAGACAGGTTTAGAAATACAGGTAACACATCATCCAGGTAGTAACACACAATATTTTATTTCTTCTTGCGAACACATGACTTGCACTAACAGCGCACAACCGCATATCAATAACCACATCATCCAGAAATAGAGTATTTTCTAGGAGTTTGTGTCGTTGCTGCTGTAATTTCACAGCCGCGCTACACTGCACAGATAACACATCTCCTGATTAAGATTAGGAGTGATTTAATCGGATCGGTGCGAAGAGAAACACATCCAGCAATCTGATACAGAAATAGAGCATATAATCCTCAGAGAGAGAGAGAAACTTTATCATAAACAGTAGAAGATGGACCAATCTATGATTTATGAGGTGGATTAGATTTCAGACCTCATTCCAAGTGTGTATTTAGAGTGGAAATCAGCTGATATTCAACCACATATCTATAGTGGACATCAATCAATTCTGCTCACATATTTATGGAAGGAATCAGCTGATCATGATCACATATTTATAGAGAAAATCAGCTCCAAATAATCCACTTCTAATCATATATTCAGAGCAGACTTCATCTGATTCCATTCATGTATTCACAGTGGAAATCAGATTTTTCAGATTTTATATTTATTTTGTCATTTGTCCAATGTTGCCAGTATATTGAATTACTAAACTTATAAACAAACTTACTATGAAACTTATTACCAAAAACAGAACTCGTAAAACAAAACTCTCTCCATCTCTTTTTTCCCTTTATTTCCCTCATTCTTGCTTTTCTGTCTTTCTCTCATTCAATCTCTCCATGCTGCGTATTCTGTTTTCCTTTCCATCTCTCTCTCTCTCTTTTCATTCATCTCTCCATCCAACTCTTCCTCTCTCTCTGTTTCTCTTTCTATTCTTAGCCTCTCTCTCTCTTTCTTCTCTTTTCCTCTTCCTTTTCTTTCCTGTCTCTCTCTTCTGTGTTTCTCTTTCTTTCTCTTCTTACTTTTTCTCTTTCTTCCTCTCCCTTACTTTCCCTGTCTTCTGCATCTCTCTGTCTTCTCTCTCATCCTCTGTCTCTTTCTTTCCCTTCCCCCTCCCTCTCTCCTTCTCTCATTCTCTCTCCCTTTCCCTCCCATCTATCTCTCTCTGTACTTCTCTCTCTCCCTTTCCTTCCTGCTTCTCTTTCTTTCTCTTTCTTTCTTTCTTTCTTTCTCTCTTCCCCTCTCCTTCTCTCTCACTTCCTTTCCTTCCTGTCTCTACTTCTCTCACTCTCTCCCTTTCTGTACTTCTCTTACCTCTCTCTCTCTCTACCTTTTTTTTCCTGCTTCTCTCTCTCTCTTTCTCTCTCTTTCCCCCTTTCATCTCTCCTTCTCCCCCTCCCTTTCCTTTCTGTCTCTCCTTCTGTCACTCTCTCCTTTTCCTTCCCATCTCTCACTCTCTTTTCTTTTTGTCTCTCTCTACTTTTCTCTCTCCCTTTCCTTCCTCTCTCCTTCTCTCTCTTTCTTTTTTTTCCTTCTCTCTCTCCTTCTGTCTTGCATTCATTTTCCTTCCTGTCTCTCTCTTTCTCTTTTTCTCTCCCCTTCCCTTCTATTTATCTCTCTCTCTCTCTCTGAGCAGATAGCAGTGTTTTGGGATTTTAAGTGTGTTTTGGGGTTTTAAGTGAAATAAAGAGTGGATGGACAGACAGACGCAGACGGAGGAGTGCAGAGGATCTATTTTTGGTGATGTTGGGGATTAGGCTGGTGATGGAGAGGAGGATGATGAGGAACGCCTTCATCACTCCATTCCCCCCAGCACCTATTACCATAATCCCCCCATACACACATACACACACACACACACACAAGCACAGACACACACAAACACACACACACTCTCTCTCTCTGAGAGCTCCTCAGAGTCTGTTACAGCCAAAACAGCCTTTAAATACGAGTTCTTCATTTTTCAGTGTCAGAAAAATGACACAGAAAAATGTCACACAACTAACTCTAATATCCAGAGGTGGCGCCACACCTCCAAAAGTGGTGGGGCAAAAAATGCTGCTTCAAAAAAATTGAAATGCAGTTAGGCCACTGACTAAAATTGCCTTTCATGTCATGCTAATGAAGTCTTTATAAACCAATTTAGAAGTGGGTTACTAGTTTACAGCATTTACTAACGTACATACTGAGGGATTTTTACTTTCTTAAACATTTTTACTGTTACTAAAGTGAGTAAAGGAATCTTTCTACTCTGTTTCATTTTTACCATTTGTATTTATTTACTAATTCCTTGTTGTGTTTAATTTCAGCTTGTTTTGATGGTGGTCATACTTGTACTGCCTTGTGATTGGTTAAATCTCTGACTTTGGAGCTTTGTGTTTTGGACCAAAAGAATCCCAAAAAGAGAAGAACAGAGTCACACAATCTTCAGCTCCTGTGCTAATAAATGCTGGATGTAAGTTTCCAGTACTTAAGTAAATTTTTAAGCTGCTTCTTTTGTATTTCTATTCAAGTTGTTTTGGATAAGTTACTTTTACTTATTATTTAATGCAAGTATACTCTTACTTGCTCCTCTACTCACCTCTGAACCTGATAAAGAACAGTGTCAGTGTTAGTTTTGATGCTGCTTCAGAAGCTGCAGCCTCAGATAGCAGTATTTGTTTGCTAGCAGCATTGATAGCAGTTCATTTTCTAAAAACCCACCACAGCTTGCTTTTTATGATATTGTATTTCTTTTCTTTGATTGTGGATGGCAAGGACTAAAGTGGACTAAATTACACATTTGGGTATAAAGTATGCTCCACGATGCATAATAAAACGCATGTCATGGTTTTATTGCTTGTCCCTCGTTATTTACAGCAGCTTGCAATGCAGGAATGATGTGAGTGTTTGTAAAGAGTAACATGTTAAAGCAGCAGTTTGTGCAGACAGTACAGTGAAAATGTGCAGTGGAAAAAAATGTGCTCTGGTGTTGAATTCTGTCGTGAATTAGCGCAGTTTAGTTGTTTGGTGTGGACCCCAATATGGGTGGAGTGTTCGCATAACCAAACTAAACTGCACCAACCAAGGCAGGTCTGAAAGCGCCTCCATCTGAAATGGAGATTCTGATTGGCTCTGAGTTTTACTCTGTCTGTTCGTGCTGATCAGTGCTTAATGCAGTTTAGCAAAACAAAAGTGGAAGTTTTTCTGTGCGTCCTGAACTCAGGAAGTAGTGGGACATCACCACAGTACTTTGAAAAGTGGTTGGTCAAATGCCCGCTCCAGCGGCCCTGCTAATGTCAGCTGTTTGAGTGCTCAGTGTGTCACTCTTTACCTTTATTACAGCTTCCTTCTTTTCAGGAGACTCACTTTCAGTTTCTCAGAGAAATCTGCAGACACACCTCCAAAGTTCAGTCTTAGAAGCTGGTTGATCATTTTCTGAAGTAATCAAACACATTCAGTGATGATGAGGTCTGGACTCTGGGGTGGTCAGTCCATTGTACAGCTTCTTTGTTTGATGTGCCTGTTTCCTTTTTTCAGTGAGGCTTCTTGACTTGACAGCTATACATCCTTTCAGTCCCATAGCGCAGAGTTGTCTTCTCACAGTGGAAGGATGGACAGAAACACCTGTGGATGTTTTCAGATCTGAAGCAGCTTGATTTTCTCCTCTCTCTCAAAAATAAAAGCTTTAAGTGCTGTTTATCTGATGGGGACAGTTTTGGTGTCTACCAGGTCTTCCAGGTGGTTGTTAGGGGTCTCATTTCCTCTGTAGCTTTTAATCATTTCTTTAAACTCCAGTTTTGGAAAGATCTCAGAAATACCTCTTTAATAAAAACGAACAACTTGTTCAATCTTTAAAATGATGATTCTTACAGGGTTCTTTAGTAAAGACAATGCTTCAATATATAGAACCATGAACACTCAAGGAGCCATTTATATGTTTAAATGGTTCTTTGCGTGAACATGTTGGAGTTTCAGCGCTGTCCCCAAAAGGTCTCCAGTGAGAATGTATCTGTTTATGATGTTTATGAGCTGGAGGCTGACTCTGAATTTGTGACGGTGCTGCTGTTAATGTATGGGTCAAACAAGGAGACATCACCTTTCTCTGTCTCTCTCTCCCTCTGCCTATCTCTCTCTCTCTCTCCCCTGCCTATCTCTCTTCCTTCTTTTTCTCCCTTTCTCTCTTCTCTGTCTCTCTCGGTTCACTCTCTCCCTTTCACTCTTTCTATCTGCCCTCCTCTCTCTTTTCTCTTACTCTTTCTGCCTCTCTCTCTTTAGTTTCTCCCTTTCACTTATCTGTCTAGCCCTCTTTCTCTCTCTCTCTCTCTCTCTCTCTCTCCCTCTCTCTTCTTTTTCTCCTTTTCGCTCTCCTCTGTCTACTTCCTTTCTCTCTTTTCTCTCTCTCTTGCCCTTTTCTCTCCCCCTTTTTCTCTCTGTTCTTTTTCTGCCTTTCTTTTTTCTCTGTCTACCCCATTTTTCTTTTTTTTTCTCTTTCTCTCTCTGCTTCTTTCTTTGTTCTCTCCCTTACACTGTTCTGTCTATCTTCTCTCTGTCTTTCTTCTTCTCTCTTTTCTCTGTCCCTTCTCTCTCTCTCTCTTTCTCCTCTGGCTCTTTTCTTTCTCTCCTCTCTCCATCCCTCTGTTCTCTTTCTCTCTCTATCTTTCTTTTCTCTACCTGTCATTGTCTCTTTTTTCTCTCACTCTTCTTTCTCATTTTTCCCTTCTCTTGTCTCTTTTCTGTCTGTGGCTACCTATTTCTTACTCTCTCTCTCTCTCTCTCTCTCTCTCCTCTTCAGCGAAAACGTTTATTGAATAAAGTCATACCGGACTGAAATAAAATAAAAGTTTTTGTTAACAGTGTTTTTGTTGTGGTAAAAGTAGAGCATGAGGAGTAAAAAAAGGAGATCTGGTGTGTGTGAGACAGAGAGAGAGAGAGAGAGAGAGAAAGTAAGACAGAATCCCTGAAGTGTACCCGCCTTAATGGCATTGTCCTTTAATCCTCACTTCCACTCCTCCATCAAAAAGAAGAGGAGTAGAGTGGCTGAAGAAAGAAAGAGAGAGAGAAAGAAAGAAAGAAAGAGGAGAGGAGAGGCTGTACATCACGGCCACTGCAGATGTCAGTCACAGCTGTGAGTTTAGGTAAACAGTGGAGCTGGCTGGAGCCGATAAGACTCAGAGAGAGAGAGAGAGAGAGAGAGAGAGAGAGAGAGAGAGAGAGAGAGAGAGAGAGAGAGAGAGAGAGAGAGAGCGCTTTATTCCTCTTTGTTACCAGCAGCACTCTTCAGGGAAGCTATAGTGAGAATATTCATAAACTTACCATTGTCTGCGGCCAGAAACGTGGCTTCATAGATATTCTTCTTAACGTAAATGGACTCGCGGTCCAGAATAGCAGTGGTGGTGATTTGTCCGTTAGAAGAGTTGATGGAAAGCCAGTTAGCAGGGTCAGCTAGCTTAGCATACCTGAGGATAGAGTAAATAAATAAATAAATAAATAAACACAGCAACCACAAGACATATTCAGATGCATTAACCATTTGTGAACTTTGATAAAGTTTTTTAGGTGAGTGTTTCTAATAAAGTGGCCAGCGAGTGGAAGTACAAGGTGGGTTCTTCTAATTAAGTGCCCAGTGAGGGGAAGTACAAGGTGGGTGTTTCTAATAAAGCGGCCAGTGAGTGAAAGTACAAGGTGGGTGTTTCTAATAAAGTGGCCAGCGAGTGGAAGTACAAGGTGGGTGTTTCTAATAAAGTGACCAGTGAGTGGAAGTACAAGGTGGGTATTTCTAATAAAGTGGCCAGCGAGTGGAAGTACAAGGTGGGTGTTTCTAATAAAGTGGCCAGCGAGTGGAAGTACAAGGTGGGTGTTTCTAATAAAGTGGCCAGTGAGTGGAACTACAAGGTGGGTATTTCTAATAAAGCGGCCAGTGAGTGGAAGTACAAGGTGGGTGTTTCTAATAAAGTGGCCAGCGAGTGGAAGTACAAGGTGGGTGTTTCTAATAAAGTGACCAGCGAGTGGAAGTACAAGGTGGGTGTTTCTAATAAAGTGGCCAGCGAGTGGAAGTACAAGGTGGGTGTTTCTAATAAAGTGGCCAGTGAGTGGAACTACAAGGTGGGTGTTTCTAATAAAGCGGCCAGTGAGTGGAAGTACAAGGTGGGTGTTTCTAATAAAGCGGCCAGTGAGTGGAAGTACAAGGTGGGTGTTTCTAATAAAGTGGCCAGTGAGTGGAAGTGCAAGGTAGGTGTTTCTAATAAAGTGGCCAGTGAGTGGAAGTACAAGGTGGGCGTTTCTAATAAAGTGGCCAGTGGCTTTTCACTTCCCCTACGCAAGTCACAAGATTTTTTTTTCTAATTGAGACACAATCTGTACCTCCAGTACAGAGTGTGATGGATTTTAACAGCCCTCACTCCATCCATTCTTCCTCTTTCTCCTTTAACATCCTTTACTCTTGTGAAAGAATGAGCTGTCCTCTTTCTCCCTCTGCTCAGCTCCTCTATCATTAAAACTGGATTAACAGCCACTGATGATAAAACTCCATTACAAAAGTCTAATCCCCATCCGCCGGACCCTTCAGACCCTTAAACAACCTTTTAATTAAACTCCCCAAACAGCACTTAATGTAGATATTATAAAACTTGTGAGAAGTGTATTAAACTCAATAATAGCCCTTCAGCTTGTGCCAATTTCAGCCCTGCATGATGGAGAATACTCTATTTTTTCCTCTCTCTGGATATTAAAAACCAAAACGGCCAGATTAACGGCCACTCCACGACATTCTGGCTGCAGATTTTGATCTCTATTGCTCTTCTGAAGCAACACTTTCGCTAATTAATTTGCTGCTGTATGCGAGATTTGTGAGCCGCCGCTATTTAAAGAGACCAGCTTTATTTAATACAGCGGCAAGGGAACAGAGATAAGAAGTGTTTTCTTTCCTTTTTAACACCTTAAATAAGCTCTCGGGTCATATTTAGTGGCACACTTACAGACAAGCTGCTAGTTAACGGTGCAGCAATGGCGTTGTTTATGCGGTAATTTCTGTAACAACAAACCATCAAGAGATGTAGCGGCACCAGATCCACAAGGACAAGATGGGCTATGAAGCTAATGTAGCTAACAAGCAATGGAAGCCTATACCCACCAATTAGCTTCATGCAAATTGGCCACTGGAGCCTTAAACCATGTGGAATTGTTAAAATGCCACTCCAGCCAAAATGAAAAACACTTTAGCCTTTGCTTCTGTTTTAAACATGCTTCCCACAGAGGTGCCAAGAGTATCTAGAGCAGGGGTCTCAAAGTCAAATTAGCTGGGGGCCACTAGCCACGTGATGTCCATTGGTGGCCAGTAAAGAAATGAGGGAAAAAAATTAACTCTTCATTTTAACTACCCAAGAAATAGACTCATTTAAGGGCACACTTTATGAATATTTATTAGCAATTCCTCTGTCACCACAAACCATAACTACTAATAATAAAACGCTAGTTTTAATAATAACAATTATTATAAAATGTACTATAAGCATTAGTAGTATAAATAATGTTTGATAAAAATGTATTGCTCAATTAATAATCAAATCAAATTTTATCAGTGGAATTATATGGAACTCTTTTTTTGACAGCATTGGAGTAAAGCTACTGTGAGTGAAATACAGAGCAGGGGCATGTTCAGTGTCACAGGTTGTGCACTGTTTTGCTACAGTTTCTGGTTGAAAGACATGTTTTGTCAAAAAGGTGTGAAACTGTATGTTTTCTCTCATTTGATGGACATGTCAGAGGTGTTACCCAATCAGCAGAGACGTGTATATTAACCTTGCCATCTTAAAATGTTAAAAAGGGTCCTCGACAAAAATGTTTGGTGTACACAACTATTGAAGATGTTAGGAGACATAGAATAGGCTAGAAGGACGCCAAAAAATGGCCGTATTAGCTGCTATAGCTACAACACTTGCATAACACATCAAAGTCTTCAACGCACCACAATTTCTGTTTAAATAACATTTTGCTACGTTTTGTTGGGGCTGAACGCAGCTCAGTCAAATCTACATTTTCAGTGGATTTGTTTCATAATTCCATTCAGTTCTTCACTGTGGTGCACTGTGTCTCCTCTTGAGTCCTGAATGAATCCACAAGGGCAGATTTAACTATCACTCTAAATTAGAATAACAGCTAAGTCAATGTGCAGCGATAAGTTTGCGTTTGACTGGTTCCTCTTGCATCAAGGGCTCTGGCTCTGCTTTTAACACTGTAATCATCAGCATGATTTTATAGAGCTTATGTTGGAGAACCAGCTATAGCAACTGACATGTAGGTGAAGCACATCTACTCAAAAATCAAGAAGAAATCAGCGCTCATCCACTGAGGTGCTGGAGCTAAAATCTGAGCAAACCTACTGTCAGTTGTAAATATTTAGCCACAGAAAAGCAGAACAAAAACATTTGCAGGCCGGATTTAACGATAAATTAAGAAATCTGTGTCAGGCCATATGAAGCTGTCTCATGGGACAGATGTTTGAGAACCCTACTCTGGAGTGAGATTTTCTGGTTTAAAGGGGTCGTCCCTGAGCTCCCTTGGTTTAAAGGGGTCAGCCCTGAGCTCCCTTTGCCCTTTAGTTGTTCATTGAAATGTTCTAATTTCCACAACCTCAGCCCCTTGGAGCAGTGAGAGATCGAGTCAGTATAAATACAGCTGTATGCAAAAGTTTTAAAACCACAAGTCAAATCACATGTTTGTTTTCTCAGTGTAAATAAATGAACACATTCTCTACAGAGAACACGTGCCCGCACATTTTAATACATAATTGCTGTTTATTTACTGACTTTAACATATTAGAGAAAACAAGACATAAAATATCAAAAGTGCCAACACTTTTGCAGAGGCCACATTTTATATTTTATTTTTTCCCAATATGTCAAATTCGACATAAACAGTAACAGTACATTAAAACGTGCAGAAGTGTGTTCTATGTACAGGATGTGTTCTTAATTTAAACCTAGAAAATCAAAAATAATGTCGAATTTGACAAGGACTGCCCACATACTTGCATACAACTGTGTGGACTTCAGGAACACAACTTGTCAAGAAATCATGCATTTCTTTATGACTTAATATTTCAATACTATGACACTTTATTTGCTGTGTTTATCACTTTATTCTGCCTGCTTGCTAGTTAGCAAACTGAGGGCTAGCAACAACAAGCAACAACAAAAAAGAGCAAACAAAACCAGATAAAATCATTATATGGAAAATGTATGCATGCTAAACTTCTCAAACAAGAACTTGCATTAAGTTTGCTTAGCTGGCTAATTAGCTCAATAAGGCTAGCCTAGCCAAAGACATGGGAGCACAGACCTTGGCCACATATATATGTGCAAGGAAAACCTTATGAGGATGTATCTTGAAGGTGGGAGGAACTTTTAAAAAACTACAATCACTTTAGAGCAGATACTTGAAGCCAGGCTATCTGTCTAATGCAGAAAGATAGCTAACATACTGCTAGGATGCCAAATATCCCATCTGTATGTGTTAGCCTACACATTAATGGCTATGCTAACAGTCAGGATTTCTTTATTGTAGTGGGGTGGCGGAGAGGGTTATATCACATTGGCATAATGCATGCTGGGTATTGTAGTGACAGAACACTAATAGATGAAAACATAAAATAGGATACAAAAACGTAAGCACTGTAAAGGCTATGCAATACAGAATATTGTAAACCACATCAAGTAACACATGAAACTGTAGGCTTAGGCTGGATTACCACATTTAGTAACTTCATGCAGACACTAATCGGTGAGGTGTAGCTATGTTAGCTTCGTAGCTTCAGTGCTCAAACTAAAGAAGCAAACTTCAGACACCAAACATGTTGACTACACTTAGGGCCAGAGGAAGAATCACCAGCTCTTCCTTTAAGACAGCGGCATAGGGGCACAGATAAGAGGGATGTTTTTTTGAAAGTCTTAAATAAGCTCTTGGGTCGTATTTAGTGACACATTTAGAGACAAGCTGCTAGCAAACGGTGCAGCGATGACACTGTTTGTGTCATAATGTCAGTTTCTGGGACAGTAAAGTATCAAAGACGGCAGTGTAGAGACACTGCGTGTAAAAGGACAGGCAGAGTGAGTGTTAAGGACAGCAATGCTGAAATGCTAATTAGAGTGTGGTTTGTGTTTATGCCTTCCAAGTCTTTCGGGCTGTCTTGAGGAGAAATTCTGCACCATAGTGACACAGAGCAGAGAAAAAAAGAAGGTGTTGGAGAAAGTGTGAGGGGAAAAAACAGACAAGAACGAGGGAGAAAACCCATCTCTTTCCTGCCCGAAGCGCCAGCCCACATTAATTACCCTCCAATAACGAATATTTGGAGTTAATTGCCAAGATGAAGGTGGTGAACGCTTCAGGAGAGGATGCACTTTATCGTGCGCCGTGTTCGAGTGAAGCAGAAGCACACAGAAGTACACAGTAGAACGCAAAA